CACGAAACGGATTATAAAGTTATGCGCACACATATTAGTTCACTTTAAAAAACATACTAGCCGTTATAAGAAGAAATTTGCTAGCGTAAATCATTTGCCTGGGTAACATACATTTTAAATTACTTTTTAAGAACGCAGCACTTCACAAACCAAAAATCTCTACATACACTGGTTACACCTTTAACAAAGTGTTGACTTCACTATGTAAAAGAATCAAAAAAGATCAATCTCTTGAAGAACTTTGCTCAGAAGATAAAATACGCATACCACTTATTGGATCAGGCTAAATTATACTATGAGTTGAGGTAATTAGGGACGTTTTGTTCAAGACTACTTTATTACGTTAGATTTAAACATTTATTATTAACTATTTAATTTAGATAGAAATAAGTTTATAATAAAAGAAGGTCCGGGTTTAATACATTCTTGCAATGTGTTTTGGTTTGTCAATCGTAACTAGTGTTCCGTACGGACCGGATCGGACGGATCTTTTTAAGGATCCGAATCTGATCCGAAAAATCGGATCGGATCCAAGTTAGGATCCGAAACCGTACCGGATCCGACTTGGATCCGATTCAATCCATAGAGCTTTTATAACTTCAGTATAATTGGCTATTACAAATTTTGGAACACCTGATAAATATTTGCCGAATGATAATTTATATCAGATGCCAAATATAAATAAGACTATGTCTTCGGAAAGCCTCTTTGCTGGCGAAGAATTGAAAAAAAAAAATTAGAAGGCTTATCAGTTCAAAAATTACTAACACTTAGATGTTAGCAAGTCTTCTCTAAGTCGAATTCTCAGCACTTTTAAAGATATGGGCGAATTAAAAAACTTCCATAATACATTTTTGAAAAATACAGCATTGGTTTTTTTGGAATGTTGAATGTTGTTCCATTACTCCCTATGAAAAATTTTTATCCGAATATATCCATTATTTCTCCGTGGCCTCCATAAAAATTCCATGAAAATGATACATTCACGGATATCCATGTTAGGGAGATGAAACTTTCCATGATTTAAGGTTATAAATTCCATGAAAATGAAACATTCATGGAAAAATCATGGAATAATAAACACGGATCAATATTTTTTATAGGGACTGTATATTAACTTCGTACTGCAAATACAGCATACCGCACGACCTTCCTTCTTTTTTTAAAAAATACTTCCACACGATAGACCTATGAAATAAAAAAAAAATTAATAAATAAAGAATATCGACATAAGATTTACTAGGATGCAACACATTATAATTAATCAAAACTATAATATGTTGCACCTAAGATTTTACATACTTTGTAGATTCATTGGGGCACGGTTTGTTTTGGCTTGTTTCATCTTGATTTGACTTACCAGTGCGTTCGTCAGGGCATTCGTCAGAATGTTCTTTAGAGCGTTCTTTAGGGCGTCCTTCAGAACGTTCTTCAGGGCATTCTTCAGGGTGTTCATCAGAGCGCTCTTCAGGGTATTCGTCAGAGTATTCATCAGAGTATTCATCCGGGTGTAATTCAGCTTGATATGACTCATGTAATATGATTCATCTTGGTATGTTTCAATGCAGTCTTGTACGTTTGATTTAAAAAAAAGACCAATCAGCGTGCGATATCGTGCAATATTATTACGGATCCGGATCGGGTATACACGACCGGATCTCACTAAGGATCCGAATTTATACGGATCCAAAAATATCCGAACTCGATCCGTAAGCGGATCCGGATCTTTTGCGGAACACTAATCGTAACACGAGATTATATATTGCATTAATAAGTTTGGGTTCATTAATAATGAATACCACTTTCACCCATTTTATGTGTATCGCATATCTTTTACATATACGAGATTAATTGATTCTTTTGTACTAAATTTATTAATTTATAAGCTTTTTTAAAATTTTTCCGTGACTTGTGTTATATAGTGTCCTGAGAGAGATTTCACTACGTATGGTAATTTATGACACGAGTTAAACAGCTTATACTTACTTTTCTAACAAGCCATGACATTTACTTTCATAAAATTTCCCGATCGGTCCACCTTTTTCTAACAATATTGTGTATACTTTACTTACTACAATACTCTAATATACTTTTAAGAACAGCTAGCGATTCTTGAATTCATGCTCAACTCTGCCTATATGATTCAGGTTTTGACTTCTGATAAGAAACAATTGTAAAATACTATAAGAATCTATCTGAATATTATCTTTTTCATCAATTTGTATTATGCTGCAATTATTACATTAACATATCAAAAAGATATATCAAAATATTAGTGTTGTGATTGAAGTTAACACCCGAATGACATTACAACTTCTGTCGAGTGTCAACTCAATCACAGCATTAGCACTGAAGTTAATCTCGTTCCTGGTTTTAGACGATTACCGAATCGATTTGAGAAATTGATCAAAAAAAAATAAGAAATAATAATAAATAATAATTAAAACTTCTTGTTTGAAAAATTATTGTGAGGATTATGCTGAAAATTGGGGTCTAAATTTAAACCAATAATACCTACTAAAATCTACATATACTCTTTTAATAATAATACTACCCTAGTCCTAACCTAACTATAAAAAAAAGAGCCCTAAAAATTTTTTACAATTTATAATAAAATACGGCAAAATTTCAGCATAACCCACCACATTTATTAA